GTATCCCACGCCAGCTTATCCTCTTGCAATTACTTAGAGCTATCTTATGTCTGGTTAAAATGTTGCCACAACAATTCCACAACAAGTTGATACATTTAAGTAGCTTGTAATGTGGGAGATTTTCTTCAAATTAGAAATGAGTAAAAAAAGGGCTGTTGTACAAATTTAAATGCTTATTTAATAGGCAGATGGATCCTTTAGGCTTATATTTTTAATCTGTATATACATATATGCATTATATTCATCATAAGTTTATCTGTTTAAGTTTCATCATTTGTATAAGAGCTTAGGATGTTCTGATGGTCAACTTTATTTCCAAATCCAATCTAAAAATCTTTGTAGCTCAATGTAAATATAGTTTCCAGTTGAAACACACGAAATGCTTTTTAAAGCTAGGAATTCTTCGTGTCTATCTGCCAGGCATTGCGCTTTCCCAGTCTGCACCCTTATGTCAGTTTGATGGAAGATAAGAAATCGATATAAACGCAACATTTCTAAGGATATTTCTGAAAAGAAAAATCACTGTCGTATTTTTTTCCATAGAATTCAACAGCATATGTTGTTTCGTTAGTGGTACTATGACATGGTTGCACTGATACAAAGAATATTGCAATAAATATAGCATGTCGAATAAAATATCTCCTACCATCGCATATTTAATTTCCCATTTCTATTCAGGCCTTAGCTCTTCCTTTTTATTTAATATATTTTATTACATATATATTTTTCACATATATATATATATATATATTTATATATATATATATATATATATATATATATATTGATATATATATTTATTTATATTATTATATGTATATATACATATTTATATATATTATTATATATATTTCATATTCATGATATAGCCGACCTATAGTAGGCTAAAACTACCCTAGCTGGAGGGGATCAAAAAAAGAGGGTAGAAAAAAACAGCGAATTTTTGCATTTAAGATTCTTGGAATCTAGATCAGTTTTCAGTCAGAAGCACAATAAAGCTTTTATCATCTAGGTACAGGGAATGTACGTCTATTACTTAAATTATTTTTATTTAATATTAACTAAGTGCTTATCTTACTAACTAATTGATAAACATATATTTAAAATATAACTAATGCTGAGATACTTATCTGTAAGCTATTTGCATTTGCTTATTGTACGCCCTAATTTGTGTTTGTGGTCAGACGCACGTTCCTTCTATCTTTTATAAGACCCCCCAGCCGGCAGTTGGGCCTAAGAAAAATGATGCACAATAAATATCGCGCTCGATAATCCCAGTTAAAAGCACAAACATTTGTTTGGATTTCCTACAGCATTTTCAAACAAACGTTTTCTATAAACTTTACTTGATTTTGTTTTTTGTTGGTTTTTTTTTTTTTTGGTATTTGTGGTATTCGAAGTGCTTGCCGCCTGCTGGTTAATGGCCATCGATTGCTCGGCTAAAACGAATGGCAGGCCATTAGTTATGGTGCTGCCAAAGGGCTTATTAATATGCGCTGTGTGCAAGGTGACAGACAGTTGTCAGGGACATGGATTGCGTAGAGGTGGCAAGGGGCGATGGGAGCTTAGAAGTATTACCGACATTTTAGCGTAATCTGCTGGCCAAATCGTTGGCAACTCGCAGGTGCTCCATAAACGTCATCAAGCGGTGCCTGCTGCGGTTGCGGACATGTAGTTGTCATCAATGCAAATACAACACAGCCCAACAGCAGAGCTGAGAGTACACACACTTGTCACCATCGTCGTCATCCTCGCATGATTGATCAAGTGCGTGCGTGCCAGAGACAGCATCAAGGAGTAGCAGCAGCAGCAGCAGCAGGAGCAGCTGAAGCACAGCGATTGCCATTGCCGGCCATTTTTCTGACATTTAGTTGACAGAGCAAAAATTTTGTTTGCTCGTAATGCGCTCTCGACATGGTCGAGCATGGCCATCGACAGCGACATTTACATTGATTCTCGGTGCGTGTGTGTATTTATGTGTTTGTATGTGTGTGTGTGTGCGGTCCGTGTAAGTGCTTAAAAAGCATTTTACGCCATGCACCAAGCGCTGCCGGAGTAGAGAACACTCAAAGCTTATTTGACATTTATCAGTGCAGCTGGATTACTACGATTCCCCGCTTGCCCCCAAATACCCTACCCATCAGCAAGCTCTGCCCAGCTTTGTCATTGATGGAACTGTTTAAAGCATGCCGCACGCATTTCTGCGTCCAACGTGCGAGCGCACAAAATTGTAATGAAAAGTGTCAGCCAGTGGCTCAGGATATGTGATAATCCAATTGGCCGGGGCCAACCGCACAGAGCGGCTGAGTGCCCTGTCTAATGCAATTCGTGATTCAGCATAAAATTCAGCCAGCACATGCCACGCCCACAATTTATTGGCTTGCCCCCTTTTAGCGCTTATCGTTGCTGCCTGTCCGTCCGTCCGTCTGGCTGCCTGGCTGGCTGGCTGGCTGCCTATTTGGAGCTGGGCCCGTCGCACTATCAAACGGGCGGATAGGCCAATTGCCAATTGTCAGATACAATTTATTCTTCCCTTAGATGTTGCCCCAAACCCAAGCGTGCCACGCCTGCCACGCCAGCCACACCAGCCATGGCCGCCATGGCTGCACTAAATGCGAATTGAAAATAAAATATTACACCGAGATTGCAGCGGCAGAGTGCGAAAAAAGCGCTCCGCAAAGAACCAACAATGAAATCCAGCACCGCCTACTATCCCCTGCACCTGCCACAGCTGCCTCGCATCCTGGCTGGGGCTTCGTTTGGAATTGCGGAGACAAACAAACATCCAATGCAGCAAACAGCAACACGATTACGCCGCCGGCCATGCGATGGCAGGGATGAAGGCATCAGACCGGGATAGGGTGCTAGGGCAGGGGTAGTTGGGTGCCGCGGGTGGGGCTGGGAACAGCCAAACGAATCCTGCAAGGCCAGAACGACGCCCGCAACGGTGACGATCATCAAGCGCAAAAGGAATCGTAAAACAAAAGCGACAGATAGTTTGCAGCATGCCATAAAATCAACAACAACAACAACAACAGCAACAACAACAAGAATGGCAAACATCGTCGCAGCAGCAGTTGGGGGCAACTCCAAATCGATTGTGTGAACTTTTTTGGTAGCGTTAAGTGTGGGCTGCCCGTGGGTGAGGCGGGCGAAAGGTGGAGCTCCCGCTGCTGCTGTCCTCCTCCTGGTCCTCAGCCTCGTCCTGCTCCTGATAGCGTTTACGCAGACACACTTCGGCGGCGGTGCCAACGAAGGCAACGTCATCAATGGCTGCTCTGTGTTTTAGGGCAACTGCATTAGGCTGGTGCCTAAAATGAGCAAACTTTTGTTAACCAAGTTCCACTCAAAAAGAAAGTAGGAGGAACACACATGCCAACAAATATTTACATACAGTCCATGTAAAATTACATTTACAGCGTTATGTTACGCTGTTTAATAGTATCGGTCAGCAGGACACATAAGCAGCGGAACAGCCTGTCAAAATGGGTATATCTTAGAATCATTAAAAAACAAAAAACAACTATTTTCACATTATTTAAATTTATTTCTATAAGATTACAATTTTTTAATTTCTCAAGACGAACCCGTGAATTGTGCGTGTCACGCGCCCATCTCAAACACGTGCTACTTACTGCCTGCATCAGGTAACGCTTTTTGGCACCAGCCTATCGCACACTACGATGCACTGCAGCAGCTGCATGCAACCGGGTGCAGTGGAGTCCTCCGCTGTGACACCTTGAGGCGCTGTTGGCAAACTGCAGAAATCACATAAACGTGAATGTCGTCGACTGCGACTGCGAAGCAGCCATTGCTTTTGCCCGCATTAGCACTATCAAAAAATACACACATAGAATAAGTGGGCGATGGGCGTGCAACACAGCGGAGGCGGTGCGGCGTGGCGCGGCAAGAGCCGTGAAGCGTTAGACAACCCACATGCGGCAGCGGCAAATGCAACGTAAAAATGCATAAATCCATGGGATTTAAAGATTTTTTGTCGGAATTTGTGATTTTTCGCATTCGTTTTTATTTTCCACGTTCCGTTCGCCTTCAGCTGCATGTTATACCCAGAACCCAGAAAATCGTTAAGAAGGGTATTTTGTTTTTGTGCAGACAAAAGAAAATTTCACAGAAAAAAGGAACTATCCCCAAGCTTTTTAGTATTCGCCATGTCCAACTGTGCTTCTGTATAAACAAATTGTTCTCGGAAATTATGAAAGCTAGGAACTTTATATTTGATACATATACTATCCAGAACCTAAAAAGCTATTTTCCTTTCGTTTAACATCTTTTTTTAAGCATAACTCAAAAATAATTATAGCTAGATACAAAAACTTGGCACGTGGGCTTACTTATAGTATACTTATATTAAGAATATTTGACTTTTATGATATTTTTTCACAATCTCCCGAAAATTGTAGATTAAATAATTCGTAATAATAGCTACTTGTGCTTCGGTATATTAACAGTTTGTAAGCCATATTTATGCAGCGAAATTTTTGACTTTAAGCACCGAAGTTAATCAAGAATACATTCCCAGATAAAGTGTGGGTGGGTGTGTTTGTAACGACAGTTTGACGCTGCTAGTGCAGGGTACTTTCTAGTCAGGCACTCCCGACTAGAGCAATCTGTATAAGTTTTTGTGTTTTTTGTCATTTCACAGCGCCCCACGGAGAGTGGGCGTGAGCGTGACTGGATTTACGCGCTGTCCTTTTACGAGTATGTGCACTGGTGAGTGGATACGAACCACACCGCCCGCCCCATCCCTCGCGCTTCCTGTTTAACACCCGCAATCAGCAAGCGCTACAAATTTCATATGACATTTTAAGTTGTTTTGCATTGCGCCCGCCCACAGTCCACACACACCCCTGTCCCCTCCGCCGACACATGCCCGCCGCCCACACGTTGTGTCCTGCGACTACATTTGATTTGCTTTCAACAGCAAATCTGCAAAATCTGCAAATCCACGACAGCGCGCTTTGTGCATTTTGACTTTGGGGCACAACATTTCGTTGCATTGTTTCCACATTTTATTTTATACGAATCGGTCTCAAAGGGTATCTGTAGCCCGAGGCAAACTCTTTAAAAAATTTTTCAGTGGAATATACAAAATAAAATGCTTCCATTTCTAGGCCAAAATGCATTCATCCTATTCGATCAACGACTCGTGTATGGTTGGATTATAAATGCCCGCCGCCATTACCTGGCCATGCACAAAGGGCAGCAGTGAGCTCTGGTCGAGAGTTTCCAGCTGCTCGGCATGCAGGCGATTCACCGCGCTAACGCAGTCCTGTGGCGCTCCAGGTAGCATTATGGCAAAATGGCCGCCGGGTCGGAGGTAATGTCGCGCGTGCAGGATCAGCAGGCGGAGTTGCTCATGATGCAGCGTGTCGCAAAAGAGGAAGTCAACACTGTCAACCACGATCCGGCGATATTTGTATGGCAACGTAACGTCCTCGGTGATAGCCACCACGTTGTGTCGCCGCTTGGCCAGCTCCAGAAGCTCGCTGTTGGCCCAGGGACTTGTTTCGACGGCATACACAATGCCCTCCTCGCCCACAATGTCCGCTAAATGCGAGACCGAGCAACCAGACGCAGCACCCAAATACATCACCTTGGTACCTTCAAATATCTGAATATATTCGATTCCCTTCAGTAAGGCGGCTGCCAGCTTGGATTGATAGGGCGACCAGGTTCGAAACTTGCAGCACTCCTCATTGTAGTCCGCCAAGAACATCTCCTCGCCATAGTCCTCATATGTGGATGCAGAGCAGCGCGTAACCAATTGAACCAAATCCTCCTTACCACGTACCAAGTAGGCGCCGCAAAACTCCTGCGGCTCAATGCTGATATCCGACTTAATGCCAAGTCCAACCGTGCTAGAGAAACTATTATCACTGCCATAATCACTGCCCTCATTGCTGTCCACTTCGCCAGCATCGCCCAACATGCTCCAGCCACGCCCATTGGCTTGACCACGCCCACGGCATTTACGATTGGAAGCCGCTAGCTTTTCCATATTTTTATAAAATATGTGTATCAGTCAGCACGAGTATACATATAAATTTGACAGTTAACGAGAACGTACGTAGATATAGATATAGATATAGATATAGATATAGATATAGATATAGATATAGATATAGATATAGATATAGATATAGATATAGATATAGATATAGATATAGATATAGATATAGATATAGATATAGATATAGATATAGATATAGATATAGATATAGATATAGATATAGATATAGATATAGATATAGATATAGATATAGATATAGATATAGATATAGATATAGATATAGATATAGATATAGATATAGATATAGATATAGATATAGATATAGATATAGATATAGATATAGATATAGATATAGATATAGATATAGATATAGATATAGATATAGATATAGATATAGATATAGATATAGATATAGATATAGATATAGATATAGATATAGATATAGATATAGATATAGATATAGATATAGATATAGATATAGATATAGATATAGATATAGATATAGATATAGATATAGATATAGATATAGATATAGATATAGATATAGATATAGATATAGATATAGATATAGATATAGATATAGATATAGATATAGATATAGATATAGATATAGATATAGATATAGATATAGATATAGATATAGATATAGATATAGATATAGATATAGATATAGATATAGATATAGATATAGATATAGATATAGATATAGATATAGATATAGATATAGATATAGATATAGATATAGATATAGATATAGATATAGATATAGATATAGATATAGATATAGATATAGATATAGATATATAGATATAGATATAGATATAGATATAGATATAGATATAGATATAGATATAGATATAGATATAGATATAGATATAGATATAGATATAGATATAGATATAGATATAGATATAGATATAGATATAGATATATATTTTTTTCTCATTATACGTTTAAAGTTTTTTATTTAAATGATTCCATCTGAAGCCCCTACCTCCGCCACCTTCGTATCTTTTGCGGACCCGCGATTTGTTTTCACAGTCCTACTTTGAATTCGAAATTCAGCTTTTACATAAAAAACTTTTAAGGCCTTTTCTGTCTGCTCGAAATGCGGAGTTTTAGCTACGTGATTTAATGAGCTGTTGATTTGCCAAATGCGCGTGAGTCAATTTACAGCGGGCGGAGGCGCAGCTATACCCAGAGACAGAGACAGAGACAGAGCTGCGGACAGGGAGAGAAGGATACAGTTACAGGCAGTGCATATATTTACTGGTAGTAAACAGGACAGCAAAGGAGGCAGCTAACTCATATTTGGCTTTTATGCAACGCGTTTGCAACAATTTCGCCAGCGCCGGACGAGGGCACAAAAATTATTTAACATGTAAATCAAGGCGAATCTAACAGAGCACAGCGCAAACTTTTTTAATTTCAAAGCAAATAGCATGGTAGGTGGCTGGAGTGGGTGGATAGGAAGGGTGGGAGTGGAGTCAGGTCGGCTGGACAGATGGGCGTGATTGGGTGGCTGCTCTGACTCTAGCATTGCCAAACGCGTGTTGATTATAGTCACGTAGTTGTCAACGCCCTTTGCAGCGCCCAGCGTTAGCGTCTAGAAGTTGTGTGAATTATGTGTGTGTGTGTGTGTGTGTGTGGCGTATGCTCTACTTATATGTATGTGCATAAAATCCAAGTGCGTGCGTCTGCATGTGCGTGAGTTTGCCGGCAAATATTGACGCTCAAGTTTTATTTACGCGCGCTAATGTTCAAGTTTCCAGCTGAAGACAAATATTAAGAATTCTAAATCGCGGCGCTACCTAGCCCCTCGCAACGCCCCATCCCGCCCATTTACTCATTTAACTGACAGTTAAAATTACAAACGCTTATCATGTACCAGAATCATATCATACGGAATAATTTATTCTGCCCGACGCTTAATGTAATTCCCGAGCAGCGAAATTGGCGCGGAGCGATGTGCCTGTGTGTATGTGTGTGTGCGTGTGTTTGAGTTAGAATAAAGTGAGTAACATAGAAAATGAATATGTGCACACACACACTCACACAGACAATTTGAGAGACACACATAGCTCTATTTGCTCAGCTTGTATCATTCATTTGAAGCGCCAATCTCCCAGCGCACTAAATGTATCTGTGTGAGTAGACGCACATGAATAGACGCACATGTAACACAGTGTTGTTGTGTGTATGTGTGTGTGGCTCTGCACCCTGGGGTTAATTAACATTTTGCCACGCATTTGTGTTGGCATTGCGCGAGTGCGCAACTTCCTCTACACATGTGTCCTTATCTGTACCTGTATCTGTCTGTATCTGTATCTGTATCTGTATCTGTATCTGTATCTGTATCTGTATCTGTATCTGTATCTGTATCTGTATCTGTATCTGTATCTGTATCTGTATCTGTATCTGTATCTGTATCTGTATCTGTATCTGTATCTGTATCTGTATCTGTATCTGTATCTGTATCTGTATCTGTATCTGTATCTGTATCTGTATCTGTATCTGTATCTGTATCTGTATCTGTATCTGTATCTGTATCTGTATCTGTATCTGTATCTGTATCTGTATCTGTATCTGTATCTGTATCTGTATCTGTATCTGTATCTGTATCTGTATCTGTATCTGTATCTGTATCTGTATCTGTATCTGTATCTGTATCTGTATCTGTATCTGTATCTGTATCTGTATCTGTATCTGTATCTGTATCTGTATCTGTATCTGTATCTGTATCTGTATCTGTATCTGTATCTGTATCTGTATCTGTATCTGTATCTGTATCTGTATCTGTATCTGTATCTGTATCTGTATCTGTATCTGTATCTGTATCTGTATCTGTATCTGTATCTGTATCTGTATCTGTATCTGTATCTGTATCTGTATCTGTATCTGTATCTGTATCTGTATCTGTATCTGTATCTGTATCTGTATCTGTATCTGTATCTGTATCTGTATCTGTATCTGTATCTGTATCTGTATCTGTATCTGTATCTGTATCTGTATCTGTATCTGTATCTGTATCTGTATCTGTATCTGTATCTGTATCTGTATCTGTATCTGTATCTGTATCTGTATCTGTATCTGTATCTGTATCTGTATCTGTATCTGTATCTGTATCTGTATCTGTATCTGTATCTGTATCTGTATCTGTATCTGTATCTGTATCTGTATCTGTATCTGTATCTGTATCTGTATCTGTATCTGTATCTGTATCTGTATCTGTATCTGTATCTGTATCTGTATCTGTATCTGTATCTGTATCTGTATCTGTATCTGTATCTGTATCTGTATCTGTATCTGTATCTGTATCTGTATCTGTATCTGTATCTGTATCTGTATCTGTATCTGTATCTGTATCTGTATCTGTATCTGTATCTGTATCTGTATCTGTATCTGTATCTGTATCTGTATCTGTATCTGTATCTGTATCTGTATCTGTATCTGTATCTGTATCTGTATCTGTATCTGTATCTGTATCTGTATCTGTATCTGTATCTGTATCTGTATCTGTATCTGTATCTGTATCTGTATCTGTATCTGTATCTGTATCTGTATCTGTATCTGTATCTGTATCTGTATCTGTATCTGTATCTGTATCTGTATCTGTATCTGTATCTGTATCTGTATCTGTATCTGTATCTGTATCTGTATCTGTATCTGTATCTGTATCTGTATCTGTATCTGTATCTGTATCTGTATCTGTATCTGTATCTGTATCTGTATCTGTATCTGTATCTGTATCTGTATCTGTATCTGTATCTGTATCTGTATCTGTATCTGTATCTGTATCTGTATCTGTATCTGTATCTGTATCTGTATCTGTATCTGTATCTGTATCTGTATCTGTATCTGTATCTGTATCTGTATCTGTATCTGTATCTGTATCTGTATCTGTATCTGTATCTGTATCTGTATCTGTATCTGTATCTGTATCTGTATCTGTATCTGTATCTGTATCTGTATCTGTATCTGTATCTGTATCTGTATCTGTATCTGTATCTGTATCTGTATCTGTATCTGTATCTGTATCTGTATCTGTATCTGTATCTGTATCTGTATCTGTATCTGTATCTGTATCTGTATCTGTATCTGTATCTGTATCTGTATCTGTATCTGTATCTGTATCTGTATCTGTATCTGTATCTGTATCTGTATCTGTATCTGTATCTGTATCTGTATCTGTATCTGTATCTGTATCTGTATCTGTATCTGTATCTGTATCTGTATCTGTATCTGTATCTGTATCTGTATCTGTATCTGTATCTGTATCTGTATCTGTATCTGTATCTGTATCTGTATCTGTATCTGTATCTGTATCTGTATCTGTATCTGTATCTGTATCTGTATCTGTATCTGTATCTGTATCTGTATCTGTATCTGTATCTGTATCTGTATCTGTATCTGTATCTGTATCTGTATCTGTATCTGTATCTGTATCTGTATCTGTATCTGTATCTGTATCTGTATCTGTATCTGTATCTGTATCTGTATCTGTATCTGTATCTGTATCTGTATCTGTATCTGTATCTGTATCTGTATCTGTATCTGTATCTGTATCTGTATCTGTATCTGTATCTGTATCTGTATCTGTATCTGTATCTGTATCTGTATCTGTATCTGTATCTGTATCTGTATCTGTATCTGTATCTGTATCTGTATCTGTATCTGTATCTGTATCTGTATCTGTATCTGTATCTGTATCTGTATCTGTATCTGTATCTGTATCTGTATCTGTATCTGTATCTGTATCTGTATCTGTATCTGTATCTGTATCTGTATCTGTATCTGTATCTGTATCTGTATCTGTATCTGTATCTGTATCTGTATCTGTATCTGTATCTGTATCTGTATCTGTATCTGTATCTGTATCTGTATCTGTATCTGTATCTGTATCTGTATCTGTATCTGTATCTGTATCTGTATCTGTATCTGTATCTGTATCTGTATCTGTATCTGTATCTGTATCTGTATCTGTATCTGTATCTGTATCTGTATCTGTATCTGTATCTGTATCTGTATCTGTATCTGTAT